GACGAGATGGCGGGGGCGGCGGCAGAGGGCGGCGGTTGCGGGCGATACGGAAGTCTTCCAGGCCAATCTGTGCGTGATAAGCGTGCCTTTTGAACCCGGGCGCAGATACCGCGCGCGCTGCTCCTACCACGCGCTCCGCGAGCCGCGAGCCGCTTCGGCCAGTGGGAGCTGGCGCGCGACTCGGGCTGCGTTTTCTTCGCTGGCGTACTCTTGGGGGCCGGCTGGCGGGGGTTTATAGGGCACGCAGATTGGCTTTATTTATTTACGTCAAAAACAGTTAAAGACTGTGTGTGACGTGCTGTGGGGAGAAGTTAATTTGAAGTTACATTTATGCCCAGAAGCAAAACAAGGATCCATCTCAGCATTTGCTCGAGGATCTGGGATACTGGACGAAAACCTGATCGAGATGGGGGTCATTGACCCAAAAGCTGAAGTACAATACTTGTTACAGGTTCTTTACAATTAAACAAGCCTAGTGGTATATAATACATTAAATGTCATTGTTAAAATTAATGTTACTTTCCTGTTGCTCTGTATGGATGCTCTGTAAGGATGCTCTGTATGTTCTCTAATTGTATAGAAACTGTTGTGCAGCAGAAAAGATTTTGGCACTTAAACTTTTGTATCGAATGTAATAGTTTAATGTCATCTGGCGCGGTATTGTAAAATAACGTACATGTATTATATGTGAATTTTGTGTAGGGAGCTGTTGATACTGTCGCCTAATGAATATGATTACTATCTCGAGTGTTGTAGTTATAGACAACGGCGTTTGCTGAAAATATATTCTCGCCCTTAAGTAAGTCATTTTTGACAAAAACCACTGATTCATATATGAAGAGAGTAGGTGATGTTAAAATACCTGGGTGAATAAAAAGAGGCTTACAATAATTACATGGGTGGGATTTGCTTATTATTCGTACAATTCGTTTTTGTAATCTTAAAGTCTAGGAGTTACAAGATGTATTTCCCCAGAATATTATACCATATCTAAGGCGGGAATGGACATTCCCGAAGTATACACAACGAGCAGTATGGAGGCTGACGGAATTTGAAAGAATTCCGTCAATTGAATATTTGATAAATAACTATAAGTCAACAATAAACATAAATTTTAAACTCAGCATATGAATGAACATATCTTTATACGAAAAGAGTCGACTGGTTTAGACTAACTTCCTCATGACCCAGAAAAATCCTGATTGTGTCACTGGTTCTGTAACTATGCATTGTATTTAATATTTTGTTTCTTTCTGGTTCTATATGTGTCGGTGAGTTTGGGAGTTGACTTTCGTTTACTCACAGTTCGGCCGAAGACATTTCTAAATGTGGAGAAGTATACCATATTAGGATAAGGAATCAGCCCATTGTTTTAAGTATGAGTTCGTGCCATGATGGGGAAGAAAAGATCGAGCGTTGCTCATGGTCCGTTGTTTTTTGTTTTTTAATTTATTTGCTTTCAGGTGTACAACTTCTTTCGCAACGGGTTTGAATACATTGGATACAGATTTAATGATTTGAGTTAAATTTTGAATCTATTACTGCTTTAGGATTATTTCGAGGAGTTATCTGTGCGATGGGTTTAGGGTCGGTCAAAAAATTGTCTGGGTAGTTTCCTGCGGATGCGTGCTCTGTTTGGTTTTTACTTTGCCTAATTGGAAGTGGAGCGCGTGTGGGATTGAAGGATTTTTGTGGTAAAACGTATGGGCGGATTGTTTAATGTTGGCGGTAATGGGGGGTATGCCGAGCAAGTGATAAAGGAGATCATTGGGTATGAACCAAGGTGCTTTGGTTATGGTTCTTAGGAAACGATTATGAAACGTCTGAAGTCTAAGACTGTGAGATTTGGCTGATGAGCCCCAAATAGGATTTGCGTATGTTAGCATAGATCTGATCATAGCTTTGTAAAGATGAGTACCGGTTTGAATGAGGGGAGAAGATCGACGTTGTATTGGGAGGAGCTGGTGAGTTCTTTGTGTGGCTAGGGCAAGTCTATGTTGGATGTGGGGTTTCCAGGTTAGTCTACAATCGAAGAGAACTGCGAGGTATTTGACTGGCGTGTTGGAAGGTAACCAAGGGATGGGTGTGGAGTTGTAAGTTAACGGCGCAGGTAGGGTGGGTTTGCATAGAGAAAAGAGTTTGGCTTGATATTTGGTAGGGTTGAATTTGATACGCAATATACTGCCCCATTCGGAGATCTCGGTGGTTTTGAACATCTAGGGTTGCGTCATACTGTACTTTGTTAGTTGAATACTGAGTTTGTTGGTCGGTTGTTGAAGATACTGCTCCGGCATCCGCTGATACCCAATGAATGGGTAGACAGCCAACCTTCAGAACAGCGGGCGTTCAGTAGTGTCATCCAGGTCGCGGGTGAGGACTGAGATGTAAATACCAGGATCTCTCACTCTTCGTCTCAGTTGCTAACTCGTAACTACATGCGTTAATGCAACCGTTGTCCTCTACCATATCCCTTCAGCTTGCTCCTTAAAGTGTTATGCAATTTGTTTCTTAAAGTTTTATGCAATTTAAAAGTTACGTACACTTCTATGGATGGACCATTATTTTTCTCTAGTCTTACTTGCGTTCTCCGGATGTATGATCTACAGTTTAAAGCTTTTGCTACAGCTCTTATAACTAGATTACTTTCTCACAATAATGTTTATAAACAGAATAATATTCATCAGTATATTACGTATTTTGTTAATAATACGGCCTTCTTCAAGGAAACGTAAGCATTTGGTTCGCTAGCTCAAGGTTTTGCATTATCAGATTCCTATGTTGTCTTTCTTCTGGCCCTGCATGCTGGCGCGTGTCCATAGTCCCAAGCAATGGGCTACCTGTAGAGTTGGGTCAGAGTTACCGGCCCGTTTTGCCGCCTCTCTGGCATCTGCATAATGTACCACACTATAATATATTTAATGGAAGCAAGGAAAGTAAGATTCTTTTCTTTTGTTTGGATCAGAAAGGTTTTCCCCCTGTTGATGTTGGGAACCAGGTAGCAGTGCAGCTCGTCCCATTCACAACACAAGGAAAATAATAGTGTACGTGAAACCTTATTAATTTAAAAACAATTACAGTATAATACTTGCAATATTCATTTTGTTGTAAGTGATAAGAAAAGACGAATTTCGTTGTTCATTTACGTATTGTCTTATTTTGTCTTTTGGTGACAACACGAAGTTGCTTTTTTATTCCTTCCTGGTCGGTAGTGCTGCTTTTCCAGAATGCTATGTTGTTAACTCTGAAGCTATTTGTTCTTTTTGTTACTGACTGTTGTTTTGAGGGAATAGTGATAATATTTAGTCCAATGATGTGAAGCAAATCCTTTAAAGTAGAAGCAAAGTAGCCTTTAAAGCAATCTTTTAAAGTAGCAGCGTTGGAAACAAATATTATTAACGCTGTAAATTCTCTTTGTTGGATGATGATTTTAGGTTTTTAGGTTTAGTTTTTTTTCTGTCAAGTTTGAAGAGGGAAGTGGGTGAAAATTCTGAAAGAAAATTGATAAACTGTTGAGTTGTTCTTAGTAATTAAACTTATAAGATGTTCTGCAATAGTGTTCTTGTTTTGATTGTATTTGTATTTCTCTATACAGTTTTTTGGTACTGATGACCAGGGAAATTTAGTTTTTTGTCAAGCATTTATTTTATACTCTAATTTACAAGCTAGGAAAGCATGTGAGGGTCGTAATATATATTTGTAAATGAGGTGATATTCAGTACGAAGTGTGAAGACTTTTGCTTGGATTTGTTTGCGTTTGTTTTGATTCTCCAATGTTCTGATCAGGTGATGCCAGTTTTTACGTCGTTGTGCATATTGTCTTATGAGCGAAGTATGTCCTCGTGAATTGTGAATAATGCAGTATCATCTGAAATTTGCGTGGGTCCTTTGGAATATCCGATAAAACGGCAGTATCTTATGTCTGTCAAAATACTACCTTCTCTGCGCTGTCGGCCGCCGCGTGACGTTCTTTGTCTAATCTGGTGTCGCAGACCAGGCAGAAAAAATTGTTGATAATAACGATAGGAACATCTAAATAGCGATAGGAACATAATAATGATTTGTAGGCAGTCCAATTACTTTACGTTAAATAGGAAAATGTGCATACCACACCTTCTAAAGTACTTATGTTGACTTCACAGAAAGGTCTCTTTTGGAATTTATTTCAAACTGTCAAAAAATATTGTATAATTTTTTTTACATTCTGATTTTTAAGCACTGAAAATGTTTCGAATGTTTCAGGCTTATCTACAATATTTTGTAAGTAACCGATAGTACAGGGATAGCGCGAGTGGTGAATAAAGGAAACGAACTCATGACCACTTTATCAAGGACGTAGCTTGCATTCCCTTACTCTGCGAAACACCACAACCCACTGTTGTAGAGATGTGGGAATAAATTAAAATGAACATTGTAAGAGAATAGTAAGAATTAACACGGATTTTTTCTGTTGCTGAGTTAAATTTACATCTTATTTGTGTATTTTTTATTTATTTGTGGGTTTTTTAAATGTGCCACATGAACGGCCTAGCAATACATAGTTTCATTTTATTTCAGCATTAGTTTACGGGCATTTGAAGTTGGAAAATTATTATGTGAAATTTAAAATGAATAACAAATACATTATCAGTAAATATTTTTATAGTGCGGGATTGGTGTGAATGAATTGATAAATTAGCAAAGAGAAAAACAATATATTCACGTATAAATGCAAATTACACGACACAACTACAGTAGGAATTGAATGTCTAGAAAAGACAAGAAGGGAAGCTCTTTTCTCATATGAAAGTTTGGTATTCGCATCAACACCCCCTGAAATCTGTTGATTTCTCCCGTATCCGGACCAGTCAATACAAATTGCCTGCATATTTGCATTAAAAACTTAGTATGTTGTAATATATTTGAAGTGACCTCTATTCATGCACATAAGTGCACATCAGTGAGCGAGCAGCGATCCTTCCTGAACGCCGGGAATCCCAACTTCATTTGTACTTGTCACATCGTATACAAGCGCAGCAACGTCACCTACATTACAATATACTTATTCTTGTTTCAAGTAGTAGCTCCATAGCTCCAGACAAAAATCCAAGGGGATTAAATCAGAGTCCTCGCAGTTCAATAATCGGTGCGACGTGTGTTGGACGAGGGGTTGGAAGGGTCAAAACGTAGAGCGAGGTCATCGTATGTGTTGCTGTGCGACCTAAAACTCTTAGTTTAATGATTTCTTGCCCATTGACTGGTAGGTATTGTGTCCAATTTGCTTTGGAGCAATGATTCGAAGAAAATACAGATGCATTGAAATGTAACTAAAACGGATTAATGCATTACTGCTACGTATTTCTTCTTAATCTGCCACATCATCGATGCTCCTGCACTTAATTGCGAGATTCCAGTGCGTAAACATTCGTGAATGTTTCTGTAGTGCCAGTGAAAAGGTATTTGAAGAGATTGCTACGTCTTAGAGGCAGCGCAAGGGACAGCAGCACGTCATTCTAACTTATAATCATTTAGAAATAAAGATTGGATAACAGTCAGATAAAATTATGAAGAAACATGGTACCTAAAAATAATAACCAATATCTTCACAACAAGATTTCTGAATAAAGTACAAGAAGAATATGACATCTGAAACACGTAGATAATGATGACGAAGTTTTTTTCTGGGATATTCTGTATATTCGTACATACAGAATCCTCAAAATATAACCGTATGTGTTAAAAATACAGTGATGGAAATGAAGTTATATTAAGGTTCTCCAAACGTGCAAAGACCCTAAGTGATTGCTATTGAACTGTATTCGGAAATCGCTTTTTCTGGGAAGAGTAGCTGTTTTTTTGTACAATTTCAATTGTGATTTTGGGATGAAATTTAAAAAAATGAAGAAAGTGAAGACAAACTTAACATGTTATATTGTCTGTACACTACATATATATTATCGATAAATCGTTGCCACCCTTACATCTGGTTCCAAGCCATTAGCCTCAAGGGCTCGTTCCGCTTCGAGCAATGTCCATGAACGCTCCCATCCCCTGCCTAGTTAATTTGTGACGGAGGGTCCTCTGGACGTGCTCGATAGCGCGTCCTCCGTGCGTCCTCGAGCCTGTTGGAGTCCGTCGGAGGCGAAGTGGTGCTCCCCGAGCGGCGAGCTGCTAATTACGGCGACCGCGGCGCCGCCGCCGGCCCGCCTCCGCCCAGCGGGGCGCCTTCCCGTCCATCTCCGCCTGCCGCCCGCCTCCCTCTCCGCTTACGCAGCCACCGCCCCACTCGTTCAACCACCCGCTCAACCACCGTCCTCTCGCTCTCCATCCCACTCGCTTTTCCTCTTGCTCTCCCTCCCACGCTATCCCTCCCACTCGCTAACCCACCCACACGCCACTCATCCAACCATCCACTCGCATCCCCAACCACTCTCTCCCTCGTTCACCTACCAGCTCAACCACCGTCCTCTCGCTCTCCATCCCACTCGCTTTTCCTCTTGCTCTCCCTCCCACGCTATCTCTCCCACTCGCTAACCCACCCACACCCCAC